CTGATGTTACAGAATCTGTCCTGATCTAGTGTTCGTCTGTGTTCAGTGTTGACAGGCTGCTGTTACTGATGTTACACAATCTGTCCTGATCTATTGTTCGTCTGTGTTCAGTGCTGACAGGCTGCTGTTACTGATGTTACCTGAATCTGTCCTGATCTAGTGTTCGTCTGTGTTCAGTGTTGACAGGCTGCTGTTACTGATGTTACAGAATCTGTCCTGATCTAGTGTTCGTCTGTGTTCAGTGTTGACAAGCTGCTGTTGCTGAAGATGCTTCACTGCTGCAGTGTCTCTGATGTCCAGCAGGAGGCAGCAGCTGTTCTGCTCTCAATCCTGCAGCACAAGCTGGACTTCTCCTGCCGCTCTGCTCTGGCTGTGTTCAGTGCTGACAGGCTGCTGTTACTGATGTTACCTGAATCTGTCCTGATCTAGTGTTCGTCTGTGTTCAGTGTTGACAGGCTGCTGTTACTGCTGTTACAGAATCTGTCCTGATCTAGTGTTTGTGTTCAGCGCTGACAGGCTGCTGTTGCTGATGTTACAGAATCTGTCCTGATCTAGTGTTCGTCTGTGTTTAGTGCTGACAGGCTGCCGTTTCTGATGTTACAGAATCTGTCCTGATCTATTGTTCGTCTGTGTTCAGTGTTGACAGGGTGCTGTTACTGATGTTACAGAATCTGTCCTGATCTTGTGTTCGTCTGTGTTCAGTGCTGACAGGCTGCTGTTACTGATGTTACAGAATCTGTCCTGATCTAGTGTTCGTCTGTGTTTAGTGCTGACAGGCTGCCGTTACTGATGTTACACAATCTGTCCTGATCTATTGTTCGTCTGTGTTCAGTGTTGACAGGGTGCTGTTACTGATGTTACAGAATCTGTCCTGATCTTGTGTTCGTCTGTGTTCAGTGCTGACAGGCTGCTGTTACTGATGTTACAGAATCTGTCCTGATCTAGTGTCCGTCTGTGTTCAGTGTTGACAGGCTGCTTTTACTGAAGATGCTTCACTGCTGCAGTGTCTCTGATGTCCAGCAGGAGGCAGCAGCTGTTCTGCTCTCGATCCTGCAGCACAAGCTGGACTTCTCCTGCCGCTCTGCTCTGGATCTGACAGCAAACACAGACTCAGAGCCTCTACATCTGACCGCTGACGACTGCCGTGTGATGTCCAGAGTCATTCAGAGAGCTCACTCCGACACAAAGACTCGACTGATTCTGCAGGACTGTGAGATTCATACAGCTGGAATGGATCAGCTGTTCCCAGTGTTACATTCTGTTCAGCTCCGGTGAGAAACATCAACAGATCACATTCACACACAGATCCAATATAAAAGCATTCAGTATATATAACGCATTTCTTGCTGTCTGTCTTTCAGCTGTGATAAACCTCTGCTGCTTCAGTTTCTGGCTCATGTGAGGCCTGAGGAAGCTCAGTCTCTCTCTGGAGCTCTGGGTGAAGAGCTGGATCTCAGTCAGACTCAGCTGGATCTGCAGGTCTGTAGAGGTCTGGAGCTGATTCTGGAATATTCTGAAGGACTGACAGAACTGGATCTGAGTCAGTGCCATCTCACCGATCACAGTCTGGATCTGCTGCTCCCAAACCTCCACAAAGCTCAAAACATTGAGTGAGTGACTGAAGAAACTCAAAGTGTACATTTATCAAGTATAATGTGATAGTTCTTACATTCCCGATTTGTTTGATCTCAGTTTCAGTGGCAATAGTATAACTGACGCTGGGGCTCAAAAAATCCACAGGATCGTGACAAGCAACAGGAACATAAAGACAGTAAGGTGTGTGTCTGAGTGTCACAATGTAGCCCACAGTTATTTAAACTTATTACAACTGCAAAATATGGGTTAAAGTTTTTTTTTTCTTCTCTCAAATTAAAGAACACATTGCTGCCACTTTTCATTCACTCATTGTATCACACCAGTCATCCATCATAAAAGAAATCCATAGGGACAATTTATACGTGTCAACAAAATTTAAGCAGAAGCTTTTAGATCAAAAAAAAAAAAATTGTCAAGTGTGTTAAAATTGTAACTGATAGTTTATATTGTCATGCTCAACAGAGTGAAAATGTATTAATTTACCAGATGCTAAGCGACTTACAGATGAGGAATACTGGCAACAGGTTGTAGCTAATAACAGTGTGTTTATGTATCTCTGTAGGCTCTTCAACAACAGAATTGAATCCCGAGAGCTCTTCATCACTGACCCACGATTTGAGATCCAGTGATGCCAGTAAACTCTCTCTGGAATCAACAAACGGGTGAAATAATTAATGCAGATCTAGAGAGATGAGACTCATGATAAGGTTACAAGTGTAAAAACATCCCAGAGATGAATCAAGCCACCAGATCATAAACCACCTTCAATCATAGTCAACAGTTGCATGAACTGATTTTTTCATACCACTGCTATGCTGATGACATTCAACTCTACCTCTCATTCCATCCTGATGATCCGACGATAGCTGCTCACATCTCAGCTTGTCTAATGCTGGGTACACACTAAAATATTTTAAAAATATTATAAGATCTTCAAAATGTGAGAGACCACAAACATGAGGACAAAAAGTCCTAGATTTAACCGTTTTGCTCCTATAGTGTTTGGTGTGCCGCGATGTTCCCCCCCACACATCAGGATTTCTGATCGTAAAATTACGATTCGCGATCAGGGTGCCTCCAATGTTCTTCCGAGCAGATTCAGTCACCCTTAACACACCTCACTGAAAATCTGAAAAGATAATCTTTAGAAACCACCAAGATAATCGGGACATTACCTAGGATTGTCGGAAGGGGAGAAATCGGCCCCCCATCAGCCCGATTTTCTTGTGGTGTGTACCCAGTATAACAGACATTTTTTGATG